CTGGCTAGTGCACGGCAGCAGCGAGCCGTGTCCATGCTTCTCCCTGGCAGCCAAGCCAGCTGACCCTGAGCGGAGTTAAAGACCCTGCGTCCCAACGTCTCTGGGGCCAGCCTTATAACTCTAAATAGGTTTCACTTGCCTCCAAACTCCAGAGAGACTCTCCTGCCAGTAAGTAATCATCCTAGACATATTCTGCCGACCTACAGAAATCCAGATTTGTAAAGGATTAGCCTCGCTTGTTTTAAAAAAATGCCCAAACAGGTTTCAGTAAACGTATTGGCTTGGCTGTCTGAAGAAATTAATATATTTTGTGTTTGGCATTAGCAGATTTTAGGTATCGTTTTCAGTAGTGAAATAATTTTAGCAGTACAACTTGCTTGTCTGTCGTCTTGTTTTGGTTATTTTTTGCACGCTCCTATCTTGGACAGTGACAATCAATAATGTCCATTTTCCTGCAATTCCTGCTATGATGAACCGGTTTCAAACAAATCTTGTGGGGACTGCTAAACACAAATATTTTAATTAGACTTGAAGAAAATAGTGGAAACTGTACTGTTGAGTTTATAAAAGTTAGCTTTCATAGAACTTATATTTTGGCTCAAATGTAAGGTGAATCTCTCAAATATTACTTCCTGTTATTCTGGGGGAAAGGAGGGCAGTGAAAGGAGAGAACTGAATAAGTATACAAAGGACTAAAACTGTATTATTACTGAGGAGGGATCAGCTCTTTAATCCCATGGTGGCTAAGAGAGAAAGAGAGATGAAACACACTTTAGGTACCATCTCCTTTCTTGTCTCTCCAAAGTTATGTTAGTGTTTTCCTTTACCTGTAATTAAACTTCAATTTACATTGAAAAGCTAACTTTTCACCTGTAGCTTGCAAACAGGGAGGATTATTAATTCAAAATCTTATTTTACCTTTTTTGTTGTTGTAAGTGCACAACTGTGTTGAACGAAGTCTAATCTCCCAAAATAATACCTTGCTTTTGAATGCATGCTTCATGTATTGTGCTAAATCAGATGGTAATAGGCTAAAGACATTTGAGGTTAGGGTTAGACATCTTAGTTTAACCATTACTGGATTTGACAGAGCAATATCTGTTCATTCCAGTCCATTTTATTTGAAAAAAGGAACTAATTCTTATTTTTTTAAGTATTTTTAAAAATATTAATAGTCTGGAATGTTGATGAGAAGAGTCTAAAACCTGATTATATTCCCCCTCACTTAAATGGGAACTAGAATTGGTCAGTCCCCTGGAAATATTTCCAGTGAGTTTTGGGTGTGTAGTTACTGGTACAGTATGTTTTACTAAGAGTTTACTTTGTCATCTGAATCAAGGCTTGTATTCGATGGTAATTACTATCATTTGTAATAACAGCAGCTACAAAGTGTTACAAAATAAATTGCAACATTCAAATGTTCTGCCTCCTCTCTAGAAAGTATTACTTGATGTAAAGCTTCAGACTTTTTAACCATTGTGCATGTGCTTAGGTTTATTACTATGAGTAGTGCTATTGAAATCAATATGAAAGCTCCTTAATAAACCATTTAATGTCTTAGAAGGAAACTAGTACTTTTGTGGAGGTTTTTTTTTTTTTAAATGAGCAAACTGCGCTTTCAGTTACCACAGCTGAAGTTTGGACCTCCCTGCTTGCTTGCCATACTAGGCGGGGCACCAGATATAGTGACCTCCCCTCCAGAAAAAGAACAGCAGCAGTTGGGAGGGGAGGTTATGGAAGTCTGCAGGCCACCCTTGCTCTTTATGACAGCAATCAGCATCATGAAGAATGTTGGTTGTATGTCATAGCTCTCTTTGTCCCTGCCCCTTAGTCCTTCTATCATTGGATTCAGAGGTACACACCTGGAGCATTAGATATGCTGCTCACTCTTCTGATTGTCATTGGACATGCAAGACAAACTACTCTTTCATCCCTAGCAGTAGTCTAGACAGTGCAGAGTACTTTATGGAATTTTGTGCTCTAGCTACTCATTATGGAATATATTTTCTGTAAATACAGAGATTTATTTTGTAGGGCTCGCATAGTTTAGTTCTCTTGAAGGTGCAACAAATTTATAGCATCTTAGACTATTCCTGTAGTATAACTTTTCTGAAGTAGTAAGAATTCTAATATTGTTACAGATCATCATGTCATCCTTTCAAGAAGTTCCATCTTCAAGTACTGCTCTACAGACTTCAAACTTTGCTCATGTTATCTTTCAAAATGTGGCAAAAAGTTACCTTCCTAATGCACATCTTGAATGTCATTATACTCTGACCCAGTACATCCAACCACACCAAAAGGATTGGGTCGGTATTTTCAAGGTAAGTGAATTTGTAATTTTTTAATAACTCTGAATATACATTGTCTTCTAAATTACTGATTCAAAAATAAACTATAAAAGCTTTTTGATGTTTGTTAGAAACATCCTGGATAAATCCTGGTGGTGATAGGTTTGACTCTGGAGTACGAATTAGTGTTGTATCTTGGTTTTCAAATATGTTAAATATGCAGGGGCTGGCAGCACAGTCCTGGTTGGGCCGGCAGAGCAGGGCCTGGGCGTGGGCCTGAGCCAGAGGCAGTACACTGGGGAGTGTAGCCCTGTCCCAAGGCATGAAGCAGAGCTCCAGCAGGGCTGGGGCGATTGGACCTATGGCGGGAGTAGAGTGGATCTCCCCTGGTTTGGAAAACTGTCATTCTAGACTGCACAGATCCCCAGGGTACTGGATCGGAGAGGTCCCACCTGTACCACACTGTTCTCTGTAGTAAACAACTGAAACAAAATGTTATAGCTTTGCCAAACTAAACTGTTTGGGATGAAACTTTCCATGCTGGGTGTCCTCCAAAAAATTCAGCTTTATGTGAAAGTCAGCCAAAACAGTTGGGCTGTTTCTGAAAACAGGGTTAGGCTGAAAAATGTTGTCTTGCCACATTAAATCATAACCCTTTTCTTTGAGGAAACTCTAGTGCCCCCATGTTTTGAGCAAAAAACATGAAATTTTGAAGGGTGTAGTTTTGTTTCAGGGATGTGCCTTTTGTAATTCCTGTGAAAATCTACCCATATTTGTTCAACTTGCAATCATTTGAAAAATCATGTTTTGCACATGCTCAGTTGAGGCCTTTTAGAGCTTCATAGTAAGCCAAGGATTCTGTCCACGCTAAATAAACTTCTGCATAGACCTGCTGGAATAAGCAAGATTTTTCTAGTGATAGAAACTTTAAGTTTCTGTGGGCTGGTCTGGGAACTGAGAGCAAAGATTATCTCCTCAGTGTGCCTCCCAACCGGAGTGTTACCAAGACACATGTAGTAAGAAGCCATTTGAATAGACTACTAGTGGGAGGAATTTATGAAAGCACAGCAGGCTGTAGGAGCCTCCTGCCCTGTGGGAGGAGGGCCCCTTTTCAACTGGGCTGGAATGGACTGCCCTTGTTTAAGAGGCTAACCAGTTAAACGTAATGTTTAGCTGATTAGACAGAATTTTACATCCCTGTGGGAGATGCACATCTTTAAAGAAGCCTTGGTGTAGTAATAGAATGGGGGCTGACTGTGCAGAAAGACTAGGACAAAACTTGGAGGAGGGGCACAAATATTATATGCAGAAACCAGGGAGGGAGACAGGGATCGAACATGTGTGGCGGGGAGATGGAATGAGGAGTGGAGAGAGGGGAACTGAGATTAGCAAGGTATAGAGATTTGGGACATGGAGCTAGGGGAATGGAGGGAGACTGGACAGCGGGACTGGAATTGCAACAGTGGGACTAAAGAAGTCCATGGAACACTGGGATGAGAGGCCTGAGTAGACATTTGAACTGAGAAAAAGAGCAAGGGTTGGAGAAGACAGGACTGGAACAATGACAAGTTGGAGAGGACACAGGACAATGTATCTGTCTTGCTGGAAATTGCAGGATAGTGTGTCCACTAGAGAATGGAATGTAACCCAAAATTCTTGACTCCTATTCCTCTGCTGTCAGTAGCTATTCATGAAATGCATGGACAAAGTCTCATCCCTCTAAAATATTCATCTGAATAGATGATTACAAGCAATTAGAAACCATTTCTGAAAGGTTTGGTTTATGTGACTTACCTAAGATCATGCAGGGATGGAATCCACTTTTCTCAAACAACAGTCAGTTACCTTCACCAAGAAACAATCCTTTCTCTTCCTTTTCCTAATTCACCATACTAATTTTTGCAACAAATGCAAAAATCCTACAGACAGTAGTTGTCTTCACTGTGCAATCCTGGCTCATCTCCCCTGAGGAAGGTCCATTCTGTACACTTAATCAGACATTGATCTTATAGGGGAAAGATAGCGTATGGTCATGTAATTAGATTGTATTATAATGCACACCCACAAGTGGAGCAAATTAAAATTGGAGTGGCAACCTTAATTCTGGTACTTGCTAACTTTTGAGTGTTTTATTTTGCAACTGTAATTTTTCTAATGTAGTTTGTGTAGCATAGAATACAGGAAAACAATCATGGGTAGGACTATTACAGATTTTTTTTAAACAGTAGACTTATTATTTAACAAATGGAAATTGTTTTTTACATGTAGCAAAAATTAAGTCTCTTGTTAATGTGTTAACTTTTAGAATAATGTCATCATAGAAAAACTTTGTCCTGTGTGCCCCTCAGTAATTATTTCCAGAAAAAAGATACTGGAGAATGTAGATCTTAGTTTCGTCCTATAATAAACATTTGAAGTTGGTGTTGTCATAATTCACTTAGCTTCCCTACAGTTTTCCTCTTGTGTCTAAGATAACTGTTTAAATTTCCCATTACTGTTGACAAAATTGTTATGGTGTGGGTCAAATATATTACATTTTCCTTCCCTGCTTTGCGTCCCTCTGTGTATGTCTTAGGGCTCCACCTACAGTAGAAACTTTTGCTCTTCTGATACTGCCAAATGTTAAATAAATGCTCTGCAAAGTAATTTAACATTACTCTAGTCTTCAGGATGTTTAAAGTTAATACTATATTTTTAGACTGACAAAATGAGTTTTCATATAGGTACTATTGTTTGCTTGCATCTCTTCTGTATCTGTGGATACTATACAATCTGTCTGCAGCATTTAAATGCAGTTGATAGAAGAATTATGCAAGAGTCCATGGTTTTATAAAGGGGGAAATTTTTCTTAAGCACATATTTCATACATCTGCAAATTTGGAGAGGGAGATAAGGAAATCAAAGTACAAGTTCAGTCAGTTGAATGCAACTGAATAAACACTGTACATGAGAAAATGCACATCAACTTGAAAATTGGCGGTACAAGCATTCCATTAGAATTTCAAAGGAATGTTGTTTTAGTAAAGAGGATAATGGGATTAAAAATGTTTTTCTAAATGTTTACCGTAATTGGCAGTGACTAGTTGAATAAGATAACTTTTAACTTTTATAATTTTTTAACTTGTCATAATGTAGAGGACGTCGTTTGAGGTCGTAATTGATTATGGGTGTGTGTGTGTATACATATATACACACACACACAGTATTGTAAAAGAGACTTTAAATTTAAATAAAAATCTTTAAGTTTTGCCATGAGCATAATTTTTAGATAAACTGGAAATAGGCAAGATGACTCACATACAGCTGTGTCATTCTTTTGACGGAGTTTAAATTTAAACTTTCAAAAACTAATGTTACATGCATGTGATAAAAATCAGGGAGGCAATTCGTATACATTGTAGTGCTCCTATTTAAATGAAAAAAATCCAAATGAACCACATAACGTTGGTTTATATTTCTCCTTTTTTAAATGTTTATGTCCACGGTAACAATGCTGATAGGGATTGTTAAGTATGTTGGCTAAAATATTTATGGGACAGCTCTAAACCAAATATTTAACTAACTTTAGACATGTTGGCAAAGAAGAAAATTGTTGTGATTTGATAAATTACAGTGACTAATGAACTGTTATGGTTCTATGATTCTTATGGAATATTTTTCTAAATACTTTAGTCCAAATGGTCCCCATATATTTGATTTCGATTTTGATTACAGAAAGAAATAAGTGACTCGTGCTTGTCTTCTAATCTGCATTAATGTAACTAATAGCACATACTAATGTTGGATATTCTAATGCAGTGGTTCTCAAAGTATGGTCCTTGGACCGCTAGTGGTCCATGCCTGCTTGCAGGTGGGCCATGGGCTCGGAGCTCCCCACAGCAGGGAGCCTGTGCTAGTGCTCCAGCCCCACGTATCCCTCCCCCCACCAGCAAGGTTGGAGTGCCTTTGCTGGTTGCAGGGGTAGGGAGGGTGAATCATGGCCAATGGAAGTAGCAGGTGGTGGTACCTGGGAATGGCAGACAGCACAGAGCCAGGTAAGCATCCCCAATCCCTCTCATGTCCAGACCCCCACACCTTCATCACCTTCTCACACAACTCCCACCGAGACCACGCATCCCCGTCCAATCCCCCCCACCCTCACCCCGCTCTTGCATTCAACCCCCGCCTCCCAGACCTTCCTCACCTCAGTCTGCTCCTGCACGTTATCTCCTGGCCAGATGCTCCACCCCCTCCTGCATCCATTTTGTCATCATTTGTGGTTGGTTGATGGTCTGCATGGAATGGGATGGGCCGCTGGCCAAAAAGAGAACCACTCTTCTAGTGTAATGGATTTAACCAAACCAGTCAAACTTCTTTGTATATTTTTGAGTATTTTGCAGTAAAATGAAAAATGTCCAATCAAGAAGCTGTCATCTCTCTGAAACAACCATTATTTGATATAAGATCAAAGAATGTAAACATTAGAGATTGATTATACCTTGGAGGTGCTGTGAGAGTTGATAAATCACACTTTATTATGATGTTTAGAAAGATAAGTAATAGTGTGAAGTATATGATGCATGCCCAGTGATGTGGTCTTCACGGAATTCTGAACTCACTAAATAAGAGTGATGAAAATCCTGTGTAGCAGTCTTAACATTATGTCTAAGGAGAATCAGACTTTTGTCAGTGACCTCAAAGTTTCCGTTGATTGGCTGTTAAAGGCCCAAACTGTTAAAGATGGCATTCATTTAACCTTTGGAGTCCTAAAGGAAGTTATTGCTATTGAACCAGTGATTGTTCAGTGTGTGTTTCTGTATTAAAAACTGTCAAATATCAAGAGGTCTAGTGGAATTTTCATTTAGCTCAACATAGAAAGTTACAGGGATGGATGAGGGATCTGACTGAGGGAGTCAGTTGCACAACTTCAGCTAAGTCACTGTAGTGAAGATGTTTCCTATACTGATGCAACTACTGCTGCTCCCTGGGGTAGGTCAGTGTAACTACAGTGCTAAGGGGTATGAATTAGAGATGTAAGTGACTAGTCAACTACC